AGCCGTTCACACAGAGCACATATTTTGCGCATTTTCTAGAGGGACATCTATCACCGTTGCACTCGTATCTTGCACAAAAGAGCCGCATGTTTAGAAAGCCATGTAAAATTAATGTAAGTTCAACTTTGAAAAAAACATATCTCGAGACTTTATGGAAGGTTTTTTCCCCACGACTGCAAACTTGTGTTTTTAAATGTAAAATGTACTCTGTGTGGTTGGCTTTCGGCCCTTTGTATTAAACTATGCATACATACATGATGCTGTTTTGTTTATAGTTGTTTAAGCAACTTAATTATAATTGGTTTATAAACATTATTTTAAACATTATTCACTTTTTTTCACAGATAGTCATGTTATCTTATGCTTTGAATAAACGCGCAGTAATATTTTGCTCGATGCGCCCTCTTGTGGCCTCAAAAGAGAAGCCAAAAGCTTTTCTTCACCCTAACTGAAATTCTGCATTTTAAATTTGAATATAATTCAAATTTTGATAATATTTCATTCAAAAATTCGAATTTAGTTTTTCAACCATTTTGACAGCCCTAGTACATACACCTAGCTATATATTGCTTTTTAATAATTTGTATTGTTATATTGGTGCATATCAATGAAAATTATTAAATGTAATTCTTCCTGGTGTTCATTTAGTGAAAAATGTGTAAAAAAATTAAAACCTTGTTTTTATCTATATTTTCACTCTTTTTATTCGTTGCATTGTGTGAATTTCTGCACGCTATTATTACTGCAAAAACTGCTTTAATGAACACTGCCCCGTCTGTAAATGTTCAAACAAGAAGACAGTCCCACCCTCAAACTCACACCATTGGTCGAATCAACCTATTAATGGTTAGTAGTTTAAGCTGGGATAGGATAAAGTATTTCAACAAAAATTTAAATAAAATTTTCTGAAAATTCGGATTCTAATTGCTTATAATGGCTGTTTAAAATAGATTTCTTGACTGTATATTTATACATTTTTAATACATTTTAGAGCAAATACATAATTATCAAGATAAAGAATATTGTCTAAAGACTGAACATGTCAATCATGATTTGAAACAATATCAACATGCAGAAACTAAGAAATACATTTTTCTATTGAGATATTTACTTAGTTAAGGAAAAATGACTGGAAAAGTGTAAAGAATTCAAAAAACGTGAAGTGTTTGTCATGTTCTGACCATAAAGGGTCGTTTAAACCACAATTAACGGTCTGGTTTCTACAACTTTCACTTAGAAGCAAAAATCGGCCTTTAAACTTGAAATATTTTTTTTTTGTAATTTATCGTGATAATTATCGATATCGACTGATATGAAAAATTGTATCGTGATATTTTTATTTTTGCCATATCGCCCAGCCCTAATGTCAAGGTAATTTTTTTGTGTGTATTTTTAATAAAAGGAAGTTAAATATAAACCAAGGGGTTTGCTGGTCTCACCGTATGAGGTTGAGTGGCTGCTCCTTGTAAAAGCTGCTGAAACGAGCCCAGTATTTATACAAGGAATAGCGTTCGCTCTCACAGTTAGCATCACGAGACCTGGTCCAGTACCTACACTACAAAAAACAATCACAATGCACTGTACAGCTGGCCAATCAGAGCACACCTCACTTTTCAGACCGATTAGCTTTGTAAAATCGACGCGTTTCAGAAAGGCGGGGCATAGAGGAGAAACAATAATCTACAGTATGTGGAAAATAATGTGTTTTTTGAACCTTAAACCGCATAAACACATTTCAT